GCCAACCCAACAAACCCAACCCAACCCTACCCACCCATCCAACTCCATGTCACCTTGTCCCACCCAACCCAACCCAACCCCACCTCACCCAACCCCAACCTTAACTTTACCCATTCCAACCACAACCAACACAATCCACCCAACCTTACCCTACCCCACCCAGCCCAGCCCAATCCAAGACCTCATACCTTCTGATTCCTCCTGATTAAATTCCATCTTCTGCCCTAACCTCTTGCAGACCTTCTCCAGACACTGAGAGAAACGCAAGTCACAAGTCTCTCTATCCATACCGCACTGTCCATAGCAGCGATCATGCTTGTTGCAACACTGTTCCATCTGCGGCAGCTTTGATAGGTCGAGCTAGGGGGGTGAGTGGGTGTTGAGAGCATTGAAAAATTTGAATTTTTTTGAAACATCTCAAAATGTCCTTGATTTAAACACAACATTGGCACATTAACAAGTGCTGACCTACAGCAAGAGATATTTTGTGTGAATTGCCCTGAAATAATGGCCATGATTCAGGCAACATCACATATCAAAATAAAATACCTTCAAACCATAAGAGCCGCAGCCATTCTCTTCCGGGATATAACCAACCTTCTGTCTGGGAGTGGCTCCTACACGGACAAGAACCAAACACTCAGCGTCAGGAAAAAAATAAAAAAATCAAATCTGAATGTCTGCATTTGTACCAACCACTTCAAACTGATGTCTTTTGAGGCAAACTTTTACTTCAGGTTGAAATGAGGGCCAGGATCCCCTCTCTCATGGGTTTGGAAAGCAAAACCTGAGGGGCTGGCAGGAGGGGTGGAAAACTAGTACTGACGAGGGCATCAACATCATGCTGGATTTTATTCAAATTTAACTCCCAAGTGGCTTATTGGCAATCATACAGATCAGCAGAACACACAAAAATTTATCAATGATGAAGCATGCCAAGGCAACATGCCATATTGCTAAGCATGGATGATTTTGCACAACAGTAGAAAGGCATTGTGGGAAGGCAAAAGGGGCAATGTTTGCTCCTTTTTCCTACCCACAGTGCCTTTATACCAATGTGCGAAATCATGCAGTATTACTGTAAGACTTATAACCCCTAACATTCGTTCCTAGGCATGCTAGGATAGGCTTTACCTTCACAACTATGGGGCCTGACGTCCGCTTGTGGGAGTGGAGCAGACGTCGGACCCCACAGTTCTGGGGGTAGGAGAGGCCTCAGTATACACAACCCCATCAGCAATGGCGCTGGCCATTGTTCTCTGTCATGCTTGCTTCATTTAATAATTTTCCCTATGCTTGTTAGTACACGGACCATTTTTGCAGACGAACGTGCAATCCTCCGCCTCGCCAAGGTCGATATCTCCGCTTAGGATTTTGGCAGCTTTGGCCACTGTCTTCAGCCCTCCGGCCAAATTCTCGGCCATGCTCGAAAAGTCCTTCAAATTCTGCTCGAACGATTGGCCATTTTTCCCACCAGCAGCTACGGCTGACCACCAGTTGATACTGATCAGGGTGATGTACAGTCCAAGACGGGCCAAAAAGGGAACAGAATTCTGTAGACAAACCATTCTTTAAAATGCATGTCCCTGCGCTGCTGAATGCGGAAGTATCGTCTTGTAAACAAAGAGGCGCCCTCCTTAGTTGAAAAAACGCCAGTTGGTATTGCTGTGGCAAGAGAGTGTCAAGTTCCTAGCCGCCGTTCGTTGTGTATATATATATAAACAAGAAGAATTATTGCACGGTCGCCAGACTGAAATTTCCGCCACGCCGTGATACATGTAATAATGTCATGTATGTCGTTTACATGTATGCAATGCAATTTTTTTCAAGATTCGTGACAAAATGAAATACTACAGAAAGAGGTAAAATTTGTGACATTTATCTTCATCCTGCCGAATTGACAATTTCTGTTACTCCCGTTCTTTTTCGTTTTGGCTCCCTCTGTTATGGGGTTGACGGGCCTAACGTGCATGACCTACTAATTAATTTATCTAGGGCCTTTGCCTGTAACTTGTAAGGCTGTAGTCGCCAGGTCCCAAATTTCGCCACCTTCGTTGTCAAGTCGGATTGGTTTTTCACAGTAAGTGGCGAAATAAGGGACCTGGCGACTATACGGTCACGCACGTTAGTTTCTCCAGTTGACATGGTTGAGCATTTTCATGATTTTGTTGTCTGCCATCATGTTGACATTGACATCGTTGTTGACTGGCATTGACAAAATGTCATTGAGCATTGAGCACATGGATCATTGCCATTGGCCATTGATTACAACATGCTAACTGCTGTACCTGTCACCCTGTGACAGCTCGGACTTGTTGGTTGTCAGCAAATTCTAGGCAATTTTTCTGTCCCCTTTGAATTTCCTCGTGGACGCTGCTTGACACCCTGTGCACTAACCCTATGAGGCTGGTCTGAAAAATTTTATGTGTTTTCTCAATAAACAATTTGGTATTTTCCCTCCTAAATTGAATTTTTCTGGACATATTTGGCTTTCTGACGGCTAGTACGTCACTGTAGAGAATAATTACTGGCGTTTGTTTATGGAACTGTTGCCTTCCTCACTGAACGTGCTGAACTGTCTGAGGTTGTTAACAATAATTGAACCTCACAGTTTTGATGGTGGTAGCTTTCTCACTTACTTAACATTCAATTTGCTGCAGTTGTTTTAAGGTAAATTGTGCAGCTAAGCTAAATTGAATCAATGAGTGTCACATCTTCGATTTCTGTTTTGGCGGTAGCCATTGTCATACCAGCTCTGCCCATTTTTATAAAAAAAGACGTCCAAATGGTTTTGAGAGAATATTTCATTTGTTAGTGACCTGATTTTCCATCCTGCTCATCATGGTGTTGATTATGTAAGTGTGTTTTGTTTTTTGTATTTCTTTTGTGATTTTTCCAGGGCAATCAGGGTCAATTTGCCCAACAACAAGAGCGTACATCACTGGACAGCCGACGACGTATCCGAATTTCTCTTCCAGAATGGCATGGGCCAGTACTCGGAGCTGCTTTGCCAGCAGAACGAGATCGACGGGGAGGTCCTTCTCCTCCTGAGAGACGTGGACCTGCGACTCCCGCCCATCTCCATCCCTGTCCTGGCTCACATCAAGCGGCTGTCCTCACTGATCGATCACCTCCAAAAGCGTGAGCTGGAATTGGAGGGCCATGGGGGATTGGGCAATGGGAGGCCCAAGATGTATCACTACTGTGCCGATTTGTACGGCCAGGCAGACTTCGACCCCTATGTTGGTGGTCAGGATCTAGGCCACATCAGCCAACAGCTAGACGCTTTCAGCTTCAGTGACGATGACGGGGACAGTTTTGGCTTTGAAAACTCAACCCCGCATCGCCCCCCGACACAAACTGCTACCAAGCCCAAGTTCAAGCCGGAGGTCTCCAAGACCGTCATCAGCTTCCTCTATGCGACGATGGTGGGGCTTCTGACTGCGTTTGTGATGACTGTCGCTCACGACTGCGTGCCGGACATGACCAAGTTCCCTCCACTGCCGGATATCTTCCTGGACAACGTACCGAGAATCGAGTGGGCCTTTGAGGCTTGCGAAGCATGCGCTGTGATTTTAGGAACCATTCTGTTTATTGTCGTCTTTTTACACAAACACAGGTGAATCCTTCTTTCAATTGGTCTTCAATAAAATTAACACTTTAAGCCGTGAACACTCCAAAAATGTCACCAATCCCACACTTTGTCAGATTCAATTATATGTTCCGTGCACCTGCAACGTTTGAGGAACATCAGCGTGACAATTGTGATTTAGCCCTACCTCCCTCAATCCTACAAAATCCTTTACAACCTCCCAGAGGATCTTAATGGACTTAATCGGTGGGAGTTAGTGAACTTTGTCATAGCATCATAGGCTTCCATTGATTGCAATGCAAGATTTCACATGTAAGGTGTTGAATAATCTGTTAATTTCAAAATGGTATCTCACTTTAAAACAAGGTACAAGTATGTTTGCAGTGTTCCTAGTTGGGACTTGCTGTTTGTTTGGGAACACACCTTGGCCGTTTGCCAATACTTGACTGCGGGCTTTTTACTCCCTGACCTCGCAGTCGTAAGCGCAATAGTAAGTCTGATAGTGCCACAAAACGTCAAGCAAGATGCAAACGAGCCAAACATTACAGTACTTCATTTCAATTTACATGTAAGTGCTTTGGGCCCATAATCAGGGATTTGTTTCCTAGATGAAGCCTGAGATGGAGAGAGAGTTGAGTATTGGAAAACAGCCTTTGTTCCCAGGACTTTCCTTTCAGCAACTGCATCAGGGCCCAGTGACGATTGAATTCCAGTTATGATTGAATTCCAGTTATGATTGAATTCCAGTGACGATTGAATTCCAGTTATGATTGAATTCCAGTTATGATTGAATTCCAGTTATGATTGAATTCCAGTGACGATTGAATTCCAGTTATGATTGAATTCCAGTGACGATTGAATTCCAGTGACGATTGAATTCCAGTGATGATTGAATTCCAGTGATGATTGAATTCCAGTTATGATTGAATTCCAGTTATGATTGAATTCCAGTGACGATTGAATTCCAGTGACGATTGAATTCCAGTTATGATTGAATTCCAGTGACGATTGAATTCCAGTGACGATTGAATTCCAGTGACGATTGAATTCCAGTTTTGATTGAATTCCAGTGACGATTGAATTCCAGTGACGATTGAATTCCAGTTATGATTGAATTCATTTTGGAGAATTGATTTGTCCTCCTTCCAGATTGATTCTGTTGCGAAGATTTTTTGCCCTGATGGGGTCGTGTTTTCTCCTGCGGTGTATCACCATGTTTGTCACCTCGCTGTCAGTCCCCGGATCTCACCTGCAGTGCAGCGGCAAGGTAAAGGCTGTCGCAACATTCAGGCCATACCCCCCTCCCAATAAGACAAACTTGTCTACACCGTGTGCTTTGCTGAACAATCAGTCATTCCTTTGTGCTGGTGAGAGTAATATATTAAGCCAGAAGTCATTGCAATGATAACAATGTGTTACTTTATCTGTCAATAAAAAATGCGTCTCCAGCGTCTTGGTTAACTCAAATTGACCGAAGATTTGAACGTTCAATCAAATTTCGGGTCAAGTATTTGACTATTCAATTGTCCTATCCAACCCAGGCCTAAGCTTACTTTTCTTCTGTCCGAAAGCTTTTAATTATTGGTCTTTGCCTTCTTTTTGTTTCTTGGGTCGTAGGTGTATGGAAGTTATTGGGTGAAGATGCATCGCGCTATAGAGATCATGTGTGGACTGGGCATGAGCGTGACTGGTGTCCATACCTGCGGGGACTATATGTTTAGCGGGCACACTATATGCTTGACGATGTTCAACTTCTTCATATCAGAATGTAAGCCAGGATCATGGGATGACCTTCCTTCTTTGGCAAAATAACAAATGAAAGGTTGACGTCACATTTTTTTTTTAAAAGATTGGATCGTGTAATAACTTTGTGTCGGAACTTTGTGTGGTATGTTTGCGACAACGTAGGAAATGGAAACTACCCCTGACCATCACAGACTTTGCAAAACCCTCAAGGAGGTTTGTTGATGATTTTGAAGGACCAATCAGCAGGTGTCTATTAGTGGGACCTGCAGGGGGCTGATAGCTTCTGTCCAATTAACGGCCTAGGTGGCCTTCCTCCAATTGGACTAGGGTCGGACGAAATTTTACATAATATTGGGTGTTCGCTCTGGCTGATGGATGAGACTTTGGCTATTGTGTGTGTCCTTAAAAAAATGGTTGAAGCAAAACCTGTCATTGTAAACAAAATGCCAACTGGCTGTGATTATGATTTAAATTGTTTTAAAGAGGACACTCAGTATAGAGTTTGTACCGTGTAAAAAAAGGCTCCTCCTCGGGATGTCTCAGTGCTTAGCACTGTCAGCAAATCCCTCAAAATCAAAATTGTAAAAGAGGAATACAAATTGTATGATTGCAGTTAGGGCCAGTGATTAGACTAGAAAGTGGCACAGACTGTATTTTGATTTCCTGCGTTGGATGGGGCATGTTTCTGGATCACCAACGGGAAATAAGATGTAATGAAAAGCAACATCGAGTCAAGAGTGTCCTCTAAAAGCAGAGGAGAGGAAGTCTCTGTCGTGGATCGGAGAAAGTTGCCGTCCTTACAGAAGCCAAACTGAGTCAAGAGGCTTTAGTGTCATTGGTTTCTTTTTCATCCCACAGACACCCCCCGTAACATGACCCTTCTCCACACCGCCTCCTGGGTCCTGAACCTCTTTGGCGCCTTCTTCGTCTTGGCCGCTCACGAGCACTACTCCATCGATGTCGTCATCGCTTTCTGCATCACCTCTCGTCTCTTCCTCTACTACCACACCCTGGCCAACACGCGTGCCCTCCACCAGCAGCGGGACCAGCGTGCCCGGGTCTGGTTCCCCATGTTCTCCTACTTTGAAGCTGAGGTGGACGGCGTGGTGCCCAACGAGTACCAGTGGCCGCTCAGCCTGCCTCGCTTGCCGACCTTCGTAAGACGGCAGAAAGCTGAGAAGATTGACAGCGACTGATATTAATCACCTTCTCTCCACCCTACCCAGCGGTACTCTCTATTGTTAGATTGTTATCTTTGTGTAACTTTGTGCCGTGTTCATGACATGAACTCTCTTGGAAGTGTTTCAGAGAGTAGGGATGTTCAAGAAAAACATTTCTGGAATCCTGATTATACATTAAGGGTTGGATGTTTACCCGTTGAAACGAAAAAAGTTCCAAATCTGTTTACAGATTTTCCCAAACATTGAACAGGAACCAGAGGTTTGACATTTTAATTGATGCAATCTGGCGTTCATTTTTATTGTAAACAACGTCTGTAAATGTAATCTGAGTTTCAGAACACTTGCTGCTTGATCATATCAAAGGAATACTGTGAATTCATCAGCGGATCTTTGTGCCAACTATCTACAATGTATGCACTTTGTCGTGTTTGCAATGACACTACGGTAAGGGTTTAAATAATATGGGAGAGTTTCCTTAACCCTACTCCTAGGCCTTTTTTGCTTGGGACCCTCCTCAGTACTCCAGAATCCTCCAATTTGGGAGGCAAAAAAATTTGATTCTCCCTCAATCCTCCAAAAGTTCTTGAAAATGTGACTTGGAGGTGTGCCTACTGCCTCAATCCTTCAAAATCCTCCGGCAATTCCTGTCATTATGCTTAGGCAGTGGAAATGGCATTCTTGAGCAGTGCGGTTGATTCAAAAGAAATATCAGGCTGAATTTATGCATGACTAAGCAAGAAAACACAAGGTCTAACCCACAACCTTCTTGCATGGCATCCTTGGCAATGAGCCATGCACTTTTGCCATTCACCCGCAATCCTCTAAAATCCTCCAAAACCGCCCAAAGGATTTTGGAGGATTGAGGACGGTTAGGATTAATGTTTTTCAAATTGAATGTAAATTCCCACCGCTATTATACATGTACGTGTACTTTGTGCCTTTTTTAGGCAACTTGAAAAGAGCAAATAACTTTCAAACAAAAACACTGTTGCCACGTACTTTTGAAAGATTTCATTTGACAAAAAACCCTGTGCATTGTCCTCTTTCTTTTGAAGGCCATCTTTGTCTTTCTAACATATCCTTTGAATTGCATGAAGTCCAAAGAGGATGTGTGACTGAGTTACAGTTTCCACTTTCTGTTTCTTTGACATTTGATCAGTAGTTTTTTGTTGCACAACCTCGAATGTGAAATATTTTTTTTGTCGTAAACATCCCTTTGAGGTGGAAAAAATAGCTGAGCTGTGTACTTGTGTGCTTTCGGTAGCTGCTTATTCAGGTTAGGCGGAGGTAGGGTAGGTTGTTTGAATACGTGTTTTTATTTATAGAGACGCCTCCGTCCCAGCTTTCAAAAAGGATAGTGGTTATTTGCCCACCGTTTGATATTAAACAAGATCCTTCCATTTGAACTTGCATAATTAAACAGAAAATGCTGAGCTGTTAATTGGATTGGTCGGTATTCAGCAAGCTTCATATACAGGACAACGCCCCCCCAATTTTAATCCCACAAAAAAACCAAAGCTGTTTTTGCCACTTCCCGTATTTGTACCAAGGTAACTTCCACAGTGGTGTGCTACTGACATAAATGGACATGTAACAAGTTTAACCAATGAAATTTTTTTCTACTTTCAATGCCGAGAACTGACAACGGACAGTGGTGTGTAATCCTTATCTAAATATTCACTTAATAATATATACTTCATGTGATAATACATGTATATCATCGTGTGCTAATATACATTTTGTATGTTTTAAGTTATTCTGAAATCAAAAGGACATGAA